TACTTGAGAGACCAGTTGCACATTCACCGACATGTGAATTACAACCTAGTCAACAATAATATGTTGTGCTGAGTGTTCAGTGTCCCCTGAATGTTTATGTATTGATGAACTTGGCAGAAAATTAAGAGACAAGATAAAATTAGAGAGACAAAAGAGAAAAAGATTATAACCAAGGCTGAAAGGCAAAGGAAGATTATCCAAGCTTTAGGAAACTCATGAAGAAGATGGGGGGGGGGGCGGGAAGAAAGAACAAAAAAATAAAATAAAATAAAAAATAAATCCCCCAAATGGGTGGGTTCTGTTATTTCATGTCTGTGGTTATCTTCTGGTGTCTGCAGCTTTGCAGCATTGTCCAATTTATTGTATCTTTGCTGTCACTGTTAAACAAAGGAGACCGAGAAAGCCTGGATTTGTGCGGGATAAAATCTACAAACCTGCAGCACATGGTTCAGTTCTGATCCTACTGCTTCCAAGTCCACAGTAGTTCCGGCTGAGCCTGGCCTCTGGTTGTGGGGCTGGCAGGGGTTGAGTTGTTCAGCCTACAATACTCTGGTGTCTCTTACCAGCCTGACCTTAGCTCCCTGACTCTGGGTGTCTCTCACAGTTGTCCCTCACACAGACACTGGAATTTCAACACTGGGAGCTCTGAGACAAGCCAGCCCACAACCACCCTGCATCCCAGGTTGAGTCCCCGCCCCCCCAAAGAAGGTCAGTCTCCCTCTCCAAGCGACAAGGCAGATGCTTGGGCCCCGTTACGTACTAGTGTTGTAGCACACATCATCCACTGCTCCCTCCACTGCTCTGGTGCCTCTCTCCAGAGGCCTCCAGGGTCACCCGCCCTCCTGCGTCACAGCAGATTTGATCCTCGTCTCTCCCAGTGTGAGCATGGAGCTGGGAGCAAGTGCAGATTGCCACCTCCTTTGCTCTGAGTTGTGGTCGGTCTCTTCACTTTTTCTGAGGGCCTAAACTTTCTTTTCACATCTTTCTTCTGTCCTGGGGATTCACAACCTTCATTTTCTTCCACAAGCTGTTATATTCCAGTGTCTGGAGTCCAAATCACGGAGAGGTCGATTTGTTGTTTACCATTTGGCCTTTTTCCTGGAAGGCTGGTCTGTTGTTTGACTGGATACATCCCTTAGTTATTTTCAGCAAGGATTAAGAAGCTTGTTAGGTATTGGATAGGATTATGCATTTTTACTATGCTGTACCAGTGGTTGATATCAGAAAATTCGAATTTTAAAAAGCAGTTCCCACATGTAATTTTGCTAAGCTACAATTTTTAGTTGGACTATGTTATTTCATTGTATGAGTTACTCAGATGAATTCTGCACACCCACATCTCATCACGTGTCTCTCATCATTCATTATTATGATAACTCACTCAACATACATAAGTAAGCCAGTGTTCTGAGATTCAGGCAACAAAAGTGGAAGGATTAATGCTTGCTAGTATCAGGGGAGAGCAATACTGATGAATACAGAAACTGATGTATTAATTTCTTAGGGCAGCCATAACAAAATAGCACAGACTGGGTGACTTAAAAAAGAAATTTATTTCATCAGGCTTCTAGAGGCTAGAAATCTAAGCTTAAGGTGTCAACAGGATTGGTTATTTTGATGGACTACTGAGCCTGCAGGTGGCTACTTATTAGGTTCTCATCCTTTATCTGTTGGGGACACAACATGACTGTTTCTTTGTATGTCTTACTGTCCTCTTTTTCTGACACTAATCAGAAGAGATTAGGGATGACTGATAATGACTTCCTTAAAGAATGTATTGCCAAATACAGTCACATTCTATAGTACATAGGGTTAGGGATTTGCCATATGAATTACTGGGTAAGATAAATGAAACACAACCTAGGGTACTCTTTCTCATTGCTGCTTCACATATCTTAAGAGGGTAACAGCAATCCTGCTAGAAGCAATGAGAAAATCATTAGTGAAAGTATCAACTTGAATTAAATGAGAACTACAGAAAAGAACACATTAATAACTAAGGTTTACTGAACATGCACTGTTGAGATTTATATATTTACCTCATATACCTGGATAGTGCGTGCAAGCATTTGTATGTAATTTTTACATTGATAAGTTACTCATCACAAAAATTATCTAAAAGGTAGTTACAACTCCTACTTAAATGAGATTATTTGAGCTCTGAATTTTAGTCTAATCTCCAGTGCTATTTGGATTAAAACTTTACATCCATCAAATCATAGCCAAACCAGAGAAAATAAGGATATAACTTCATTTAAACAAAAAAGATTACTAAAATAAGGCTTATACCTTAAAAAAGAACCTTATTAATCTGTAAGATTTTTGTGCTGTTTCCTGATAGAGATAAATGTGGTAACTGTATATGTGTCATGTGTCAAAACCTGTTCAAAATTTAAACCTAATTCTGTCTTCTGTTATGTAGAGTTTATTATGAGTGAGTGATAAAATACAAATTGTGGTGCAAATTTATAGATGGTACAACTATTCATCATCTCCCTTAAGAGATTATATCTGAAAAAATATGGGTCCAAACAAATATGATACATTTACAAAAATATTTCCTCCTTCAGTATACTTTTTATTATGTATTTTAGAATTAGAAATTGTCATAAGAGGGTCAAAAAGATAGCTCAGCAGACTCCTGAGGCAAGCACAGGGACCAGGACTTGATCCCCTGAAACATAGGTCCCGCCAGTCCTGGCCCTGGGCCCACTGAGTTGCCACTGAGTCTGGTCATGGTGACACACATCTATAATCCCAGTGCTGGGGTGGCTGAAACAAGAGGATCATTACCAGTCCAAGCTGTGTAGTGAGACACTGTACAAAAAACATTAAAAAAAAAAATCTGTCACTTCTCAGAAGAAGAAATACAAATGGCAAGTAAATATATGAAAAAATGTTCAACATCATTGGTCATTTAAGAAATGTAAATTAGAACAGCACTGAGATTCTATCTCACCTCAGAAATAATGCCTAGCATCAAGAAGTCAGCCAATAACAAATGCTGGATGGGCTGTGGAGAAAAAGAAACACTTCTGCTCTGTCGATGGGAGTGCAGACTATGCAAATCAGCGTGGAGATTCCTTAAGAAGTTAGGATCAGAGATCCCCTCCTGGGTATTTTGCAGAAGAACTGACAGCCTCATGCCACAGTGATGTATGTGCACCCATGTTTATAGCAGTGCAATTTTTTATAGTTAAATCCTGGAAACAACCCAAGTGCCCATCAACTGAAGAATGTATAAGGAAGACATATTTTTACACAATGGAGTATTATTCACCTATAAAACAGCATAAATTTAAGTCTTTTGTCAGTAAGTGGATGCAACCATAGAACATAGTTTTAAGTGAAATAAATCTGACCCACATGTGCAAGCATCATACTGTCTCCTTACTGCGAGAACCTGAAAGAGAAAACTGGAATCTGAAGGGTACAATAGATACTGGGAAAAAGGAATGGACTTATGCAAAAGGAAAGAGTTACTGAGTTGGGGAGGAGGACAGGAGAGGGAGTGGGGGAAAGAGATTTATCTATGTATGTAAGCAGGATGGTTTGGACAACTGTACTGTGCATTTCTGCTGGTCAATGGAAAGAAAGTTAATGCTTTGTTTCTTCTCCTTTTTTTAATTGTGCTTTTTCTCTTAATTTCTTATATGTTTCTTTTTCTTCAATTTTATATATGTATCTGGTAATATGATTAACTGGTTGGAAGACAACACTATGTATTACAACAAATAATGTGAAACTCATATTTTGTTAAGTGAAAATCTGTATCACTTGTAAGTTTTTCTGTCTTAATTCTAATTTGTACCCTCTTTAAAAACTAAAACTGAAAAAGAATTATCATAGGAAAAATACAAATCACTAGCTATTATACGCACAAATCACATATCTCTTTATTTTGCCTAATTGTAACTTTTTTTTGTTTGTTTTCTTTACCTTTGGCCAGCTCAGTCTGCCCTGAGAGCAGGGCTGGCATGGCATGTGGTGCCAGAGATCGAACTGCAGTCCCCTGCATCTGTGTAAGCTTGCCTAAGCAGACACTTTAGAGCACTAAGCTATCTCGCCATCTCAATTTTAACTTCTTGATGTCATTTTGATGAACCATCAAGCAATTTATTTTCTAAAACTCAAATTTTTAAAAATCATGTCTAATAATTTAATGAATGCAGAAATGAAAGAAGGTCTTCAGTCTATGTCATATCTGAACATACTCATCCTCTAAAATGGGACAATAAACATATTGATGTATTTGGAAAAATGATACAGACAATTTAAAATATACATTAAATTCTAATTTTAATGACAGGAAAAAATGGATAAAGATTTTACAATAACCATCAACTTCTGAAAACAATGAAGACAGACAACAGTCACATTCAAATAAACCTGTAAAACAAACTTAATCTTTACTCAAAATACATGAGATGTTGTTAGCCCTTATACTTGAAAAATGGAGACAACTGTTGAGAAAAGGAAGAGAAACAGACGCTATTAGATTTTATTCTTAAGTTTCAAGAAAAATTCAAGTAAAAGGCAGGTTAAAAACCCTAGAGACATTTTCCTACTGCTTAACATCACCAAACATATTAATTTCCATAGGTCTTTTTTCATAAAAATATAAATATCATTAGTTAGAAATAATAGTTTAAAATTAGTTTTTCTTCCAAAATAGGATGATTTCTTGCTTTAAAGGGAGTTTCACCAAGAGTGCATCTTATCCCAACTGCCCTGCAGTTTTATTTATTTAATTCCAATTTATTTGGATTTAAAGAATAAATACTCTCTACTCATGGTAAACAACTTTATTCCTACCAAACGTAATCATAGTTTTATACTAAAGAAAAGCACAGAACTTAACAGTACATTATTATTCTATGATGGCAGTGAGTAAAGTATGGGCTTTTGTAGAGACAAATTCTGGTAAGAAAAACACCTCACAAATAGGAAAAAATGTGAGGAATTTAGTTCCATAAAATAACTTTAAATATCAAAGCCCATCGAACCTAATATAATTTAAAGAAACTGTTCAAAAGTGCTGCCCATAACAAAAGTTATAAAATATTATTGCCTGTCATAGACAAAATTCCAATTTTGTAGGTGATCTGTATGTGGAAATAAAAGAGAGCTTTGTCCTTTTTCTAATTATAGGTGGAATACCAACCCTTTATTAAAACAAAAGAACAACAAAACCCTCAAAACAACTAAATGGAATGTGAGCTGCATCAGAAAATACATATTGGACATGAACGATCCCCTACCTCTACACAGCCATACATTAAGCACTTCCACTTAGTTCTGACAATGCAAAGAAAGACGTTACAACCTCATGTAAAGAAACTCAAAATGAAAACATCGAATGTCAGAACAGCAGCAGCAAAAGGATCCTGTGATGATGTATTTTATTTTTACCAAACATAGAGTTAGCAACTCCAAGGCTTGCGTGCCTGCGCCAACAGTGCAGGTGACAGCCACGCCTGGCCCATGCACACACCTGTCCAGCGCAGCGCACGGCTGTTGCTCACAGCCACTGACAGGCAGCTGGAGGGTAGTGTACGCAACGCCACACCTGCTCCCCATCGCCCTAAGAGCCAGCAGCCAGGACCATTATTCAGGTTGGTTGCCCAAATGCCTGGGGGGCATGCCTACACCTGGGTTTCTTTCTTAACTAGCAGTTTTTCCTTAAAAAGTCCTGGTCTTTCATGAACTAGAATGCATCTTAGGCCGCCTCCTTGGATGATAGAGCATATGTTAACTTTCCTCCTTGTAAAAACTCAGTGTTAGCCATTAGCCACTAAAATAAATCTGCCCCCATTTCTACTCATTCCCTTTCTTTTCCCTATTGTGGACCCCATGTAAACCTAAAACATATGGTAATTCAATGTACAAGTTTTCTCAAAGTGCAAAATATGTTACAGATAGTTTCATAGGCTTTATTTAAACAGCATTTTATACAGTATGGTCAAGACTCCTGCTCCTAAGTTACCACCTGGCAGAAAAGGGTTGACCACTTACAGTAACCCAGTGCTTTCTTACACAAAATTAATACAACTGTACTTTACAAGTTTTGTTCAGAGCAAAACAAAGTTTATCTTACACTTAATCACATATATATATACATATACATATTTTAAAATGCTCTTTAAATGAAGTTTAGATAGACACATTTCTTAAATATAGACAAATTGGACTATAAACTTAGGAATTATTTTATAGTTTGGTTTCTACTTTACACATGTTGTATACAATATTTAAAAAATACTTCATGAATCAATTCATTTTATTTCTTTGTGCAAAATCTGTTCACCCTGTAACTGTTTAGGCAGTGTTCTTGACCGCTGTAAAACCACACTAAGTTCTTCAATTACCTTTGAAGGCAATTTATGCTCCGAATCCAGAGCAGCTCTGTTACCCCTGTCCTCGGTCTTCTTCATGGTCTTGAGGCCCTTCCGGCCCTGCTGTTGCTCCTGTTGGGCCTCAGTCTCTGTGTCCTCCAGACAGACGAAGCTCCGGTGTTTTCTGGCCCTGTTTCGAAGTTTGTCCTCCTTGTGCTCCAGGCACTGGGCCACGATTGAGGCTCGGTCCTTTAGGCTGGGCTCCACGGCCTCCGCTCTCTCATGCTTTTCACCAAGCCGCAGTCTTTCAAGTTCTGCTTTTGCACTCTAAAAATAAAGTAAGAGATTTTAGAGGAAAGCAGGCTTGGCAAAAATTGATGTTTAAAAAATACATTCCATGTACCAGTTCATGCTTCCTATACAAGAGCTTATTTCTCTAATGTAGGTTCTAATTTTACTTTGACACAGTGGCATATCTGAATTTATACTCTGGTGCGGGAGCTGCAAAATCAAATGAAATACAGATGACAGAAATTCACTTTAACATGCATTTAACATAGCACTTCAAAGATGGCTTTCATGTTAGTTATTCAGGCTGCCTCTCATTTCAAATCTCCCTCTTCCTACCCATTTCTGCTTTATGTGCCATGTGTGCATTCACCCTTAGTTCCAAAAGAGTTGTACAGATAGCACTGACAAAAAAAAAAAATATGCTGTCCTTGGCAGGGGGAACCAGGAAAGTGGTCTGTACTACAGCCTCTCCTTGAGATTCGTAATTCTTAATGAAGATGCTGAGAAGTATTAAGGCAGAGAAATCATCTTAACTCCTTTTTCTGCTTTATTCAAATATTTCTGCCTAATGAAACGTTTCTCCTACATGATCCCTATTAGGGTTTCCCGAGCATATATTTCAAAACTGAAAATATGTTAATACCTGCTTTGCATTAGTGGATTAGAGTTCGCACTCATTCTGTGAATGGTCAGGACCTGTAAGGACCAGATTTCACTGCACCAAACACTCCTTGGCTTCTTGGGGATCACAACTTAGTCCAGCATAAAACACAGCTCTGCAGACCACAGACTTTTTGGCAGAAAGACTTAGACACAGAAATTAGGAGCTGAGTATTAACGTATACAGTGCCAAAGTTTACTATCAGCCTCAGTGACTCATAAACTTGTGTGAAGGTGAGCGTGAAGGGTATGAATGATCTGCTAAAAGTGAGCACATGGGTAGGGACAAAGCAAGTAGAGGAAACAGAGTGTTTTACATGAATAATACGGAGCGAGCTGCAGAGGACTCCAGGGGAGGAAAGAAAGTTAGTGGCCTTAAACGACAAGACTTTAATTTAGAGAGCAAGACAGATAAAGTGTAAAGGAGATGAGCACAAGGTGGCTCGCTCCAGGCAACGCCAATCTGTGTCACAGCAGAGAAATGGTGCCTATCGCTCCCAGCTGTGGAGCACAGTTCTTTCTGTCAGAGCTGAAGTAATGGGCGGTGAGCACATCATCAGAGCAAATCACTCACAGGGCTTTAGTCTGGGATCCTGCATGCTTCCATTATATCCGGAGATGTGGGCCAGGTCTTATGATAAGAAAATATGACCAATATATATATAGATTACACTAGAAATTCTTTTAAAGTACTTTTACCATTAAACTCATTTACTTGCTGATAATCTCCATCATGTAGAATACATAGTCACATCACTAAATTTAATCCTAACACCACCTCGAGCTTTACATGATCATTCACAGGTTATATTTTATGATACAGAAACACAAACTGAGGAAATAATCTGAGTTCACATAAGAAAAACTTTGAGGTAGGAGGCTAGAAATAATTTGTCTTAAATGAGATATGAGTGTGTGGGAAGGGAGGCCATGGTATGGAGGTCGGGGCATCTGGTTCCCAGTCCTGACTTGCCTTCTGGAGATGAGCAGGGCAGGGGATGCAGCTTCCTACTTCACTGGTGGCCTTCTGGGTTAGGTAGTGCGGGGTGTGCTGGGAGTTGTGGCCAGTGCTGTGCATACTGCCTCACAGTAGGCACAAAGAGAGTTGGAGGGTAGGCCAGAGTCCCAGCGTTGGTTCCAGGAGTGGCCAAGTATGTCTGTGTTAATTAACTCTCCAAATGGCTCCCTACTCCTGGGCCTGCCAGGTGCCTGCTGCGCACCCGTCTTGCTGCCAGAGAGAATGTCTGAAGGCATGCTTCCATAATAATGTCCCTAGGGAAGCCCACTGCCCTGCAAAGCTGGGACCTGCACCTGAAGTGCCTCCTAAGCCTTGGAACAAGCTGCCTTCAGAGTACAGTACAAAGTAGAGGAGGTTGGGAGGACCTTATGATGACATTGTTACAATGTGCCTAAGGAAGTGAGCACCGTTCAATGACCCGGACTGTGGAAAAGGGAAGCCTTGGGGCCAGGCACCTCTGTACAGATGAGGCGGCCAGGTTCAGAGAGGGGTGGTGGGATGCTTGCAGTAGCATAGCCTACTGCAGACGTTGTAGCTTCTGGGTAGCCTTTGTAGTGGCTCCATTCATATGAGGCCACTTCCTTGGGCTGTAATGGCTCCTATGGAGTAGGGCAAATGAAGTCTCATCCCTGGTTGGTGTGTATTATAAATTCCCCAGTGCCTAGGTTTGGGCTGTAGCTCCTCTTGGTTAGTCCTAGGCCTGTCAGCTTCTGGGATGCAGGAAAGCCTGTTTCACAGACCGTGAGGTCTGTAGGGCTCCCACAGCAAGGGCTAGGCACCTAAAACTGATTTTTTTTCTTTTTTAAAGGTATTCAGAGAAGTGCTGTTTACTAACAGATACAAAACAACACCTGTATGGACCACTGCAATACGATACACCACTGCACAACCCACACAGGGCCAAGTCCTCCCATGACCAATGCCGCAGGCGGGGACCTAGATCTGCATTCTTGCTTTCCAGTCACCATGTTCAAAAGCAGGTCAGGTCTTCGTCCTTTGTCCTGGCTGTGCTACACAATTCCTTTTCTGGGAACCTAAATGCTTTACAGGGATCTGAAAGAAGCAAACCTATAAAGGTGGAGGGTGAAGCACCTGCCCCCAAAGTAAGCTCCGCCTACAGCCACAAACTCAGTGAAGTCCTAGATATTTCCTGAACCTCTGATTCTCCAGCTCTGGCTACAGTCATCCTAGCAGAGAGGAACTGCCTGCCCTGCCCTGCCGGAGTTCCTGACCACAGAAACTGTCAGTTGTTTTAAGACACAAAGAGAGACACACATACATGCATACAGAGAGACACACATACATGCATACAGATAGACAGGCACAGGCACAGACACACACGGACACACACACACACACAGTCTGAAATGGGAACCCAGGGTGGTTTTCTGAAATTGATGTGTATCTTTCTAGCACATCACACTGCTCCAAGGTAGTAGGGGACAGGTGGACTGCTTACTATTACTATTTTCTGTTCAACTGTACCATTCTTCTTTGTTAATTATCTTGTAGAATTCATTCTAAAAAGGAATGGCTCCGCTACCTTTCTGTCCTGTAAGAGGACCTCACTGTGCTGCCCAGCATGGCCCCTGGATCTTGGGCCTTCACAGTCCTCTTGCCTCCATCTCCCTAGCAGTTGAGGCCATCAGGGGTGCCACTGCACTCAGCTGTTAATGGCCATTTTGAAAGCCGGTGAATGGTCACGCACGTTCTTCATTACTTTGTCCCAGTGTATGTTAATGATGTCAGCCATAATTATAATAATTCTCACATATAATTATTTAATCATCACAACAATTCTATAAATGTGGACACTAACTTAAGCAAGGCTTCCAGACTAGAGGAAGCAGAAGCACTGAAGAGGGGCATCCAGCCTGTGTGTGGCTCAGCACTGTCTGCCTAGCTTGTAAGTCTTCCTCAGGAATCTTTCTGAGGTACTTTCACACAACTTTCAAAAGAACCTTAAGAAACCAAGGCCAAATCAACAAATACCCCAGTTTGCCAAGAACTTCTCTGAAAAATTCTTCCTGAATTACATTCCTTGATATGAATATACTTTTTCTTATGAATGCATCTCACTTAGTAATGTTAATTCTACTTTTAAAACATAGGATCAAAAGTGGGTAGTCATTTTATATTTTATAATATATTAATTTTATTCCATAGTAAAAATTTTAATAGTCCATATGAAAAAAAGCTTATTTTTATTCATTTTGCTCCAATGCCTTTTCAAATGTTTCATTGATTTCCTAAAACTGGAGCATCATATTTGCCAAATCACTAAATCACATTTACCAAATTTACAAAAAGAAAAAAAGTTTAGCTTGTTTTAACTCATACATTTGCCAGCAATTAACACTGTATGGGCTTGTTTTAAGAGCCTTGAACGATTTCTCAAAGCAACAATTTTGAGACATGGGGTGACAGGCAAGACTTTAAAGAAACACCCTGAGAAAAAGCTAGCAGCTGCAACTTTTGGGGATGAAAAGGGAAAAGTAAATCCAGCTGCTAAAGGGGTGAGCTCCTATAGCCCAAGATAAGAGGGCCGGACACAGAAGCAACTGTCCGAGAACAGTGAAGATAGTGAAGGACAGGAGCCAGGACTGACCCTGAGGTTTCTTATAGCTTCTTTGTAATGCATAAAATAATAAATATGCTCCGAATAAAACTCTGAGCATAACACATTTCTAGGTATATTTTGAGCCAGGTGCAAAGTCATGACTACTCAGTAGCTAAATACCACCCTGTCCAGACTATTGCCTCTTTTAGGGAAAAACATGAATAATTAAAGAAAGCTTTGGGGGATCCTAACAAAAATGAAATGTATCCACTGCTGGCCACTTCCCATCTAGGCAGGAACTAGCCTGAGATTTGTGGGCTCTCTGCCAGTGGAAGAGCCAGTTTGTTTTCTGTCTGGTTAACTTTGCAGTTAATTTCTATTACTGACTTAGTACTTAAGGACTCATGCTTGCTATAGACGGACACCTTCAGTTTCCCGATCTTAACCATGTTAAAAAATTTAACTCTAGAATCGTGGATTTGGAATCAGGTAATAAACTGCGTATTTAAATCATCTGTGTGTAATGCTGGTTGAGGAAGTTTGAGCCTCCCCTCCAAAAAAAAGTCTGTCTTTAACTTTTCTTTGTAGCTGATCCTAAGATAGTGGCAGGAGGCTCTTGGCATATGTATCCCATAGACTTCCATACTGATGCTACTGTGTTCCCTGAGCTGGGTTCCCATGGAAAGGGAATGAGAATGTTAAGATTCTAGATTAATGAACCCATAATCTTGCAGAATGGCTTGTTAGCAAAAACTAGGTGTGGCATGGACAGAGGGACAAGTTCTTTATTTCTCAGGGACTCCTTCCTTTGATTGTAGTAGTGCAGCAATATCAAGCAGGGGAACCTAAGAGCATTATTTTTGGAGTTTTTGTATTTAGAGTTGGAGTTTTTCGGTGGAATAAATGTTCAGGCATATTCCCATGCATGGAAAAAAATTTGAAAAACCCAAGTACTAGATTAAAGTGCCTTTATTCTGGTAAAGTGGTTTTTTTTTTTTTTTTTTTTTTTTTTTTTTTTTTCTATTTTTCTTTTTTTTTTTTTTTTTTTTTTTTTTTTGCTTGGAAAGCAAGAGTCAAATAGCTTAATCCAAAATTTAAGCTCAAAGAAGATATAACACTTTTTAAATGCATTTCTTTGTGTTTTAAGGGACTCAATTAAGGCACTGAGACATGATACAATTCCCAAGTGGTTAATGAGTTTTAGGAGGAAAAAAAAAAAACCAAAAAACCTCTTTTTGAAGAGACCAAACTGCACATCAAGACTGACTACTTAGAAAATGATGTCCTTTATGAATAATGCAAACTGATGCTCAGAGGTCATCCTGTCATTCCTTAAATTAAGTAAGATACCCTACTATTTCTCAAACCACCAGAACCTCTCATTATCATAGGTCTGGACATTTTCTGCCATAAACTCACTTTAAGGCGTTTTAATAAATTTCTTTTATTTGTTTAGTACTGGGGATCGAACTCAGGACCCTGTACTTTAGAGATAAGAAATGAATGACACTGTAGGTGTGTAAATGAGCAGGCAATGACACTAAAATAAACGATGTGAGGTTATTCATGTTTTCTTGATGTATAGGATTCTTGTGTTTATCAAAGTGATCACTATTGTTTTTGAAGTTAGTGAAGTGATTAACACTTTTCGTCATATTAAGACACAGGAAAACAAATGCTTCAAACTAATATCAGACAAACAAAATCCTAACCTACCTCAATATTTCTCCGGGCTTGGGTTGCATTTCTTTCATGCTGGATGGGAATTAGAGGTAAACCTCCAATTTTGGGATTTTTGGTTATTGAACGCTTTCGTTCCTTTCCAGCTGGTGGCCATATATCATTTTCATGCTGTGGAAACACAATTTCACGCTGTTGGTGTGTGACTTTATTATGTGGTACACCACGGCAGTCACTGGGCTCCTTTGCTATGTGCCACATCAAGTGATGTGCTCTCCACGAGAGTGCCATTTGTAATTATGATGTTGACTCTGGCAGCGACATAGCTCGAGGACGTGAAACTCTTAAGTGAACTGAGCTTTTGAGGTCTCAGTTCAATTTCTAAGTTTCACATACAAGCCTTCTATACTACTTATCAAACCAAATGGGGGAAAACATTGGAGGAAACTGGCAAATCTCTTTGTAAAAGAAAAATAATGCATTTGTCTACATTTCTGGGCCTTATAATAAAAATAACCATACATTTATTTTTTCCTCATACCAAAGGTGATTTTAATGTAAAAATAATTTGATCTTATATATCCCAAATCAACCTAAGGCATGGCTGTCAGAAAAATGTGCCTTCTTTTATGACCTTTTGAAAAATGTTACTTTTTCATCTAATTGAATTCCAAGGAAATGTTACCTTTTTACACATACATTTATACTGAAAATCATTGCACAACAGAGAATATGGTATATTTGTTCTCAAATTACTGACTACAAAGACTGTCCCACTAAAAATTACAGATATGACTGGAGAAAAGCTAATTTTGCAATGAGGGATAAATGTCCAGAGGTAAAAATATAAGCTTTTAAGTGATTAATCTTTGAGATACACATATAAAAGAAAAACATTTAAACACTTTTTCTACTCCTCAGGGTAGATTAACTTTTTAGAAGCTGGGAAAGCAAATTGATTTTCAGACAACAATCTTATGAAAGATACATAGAATGCCAAGTATAAAAAGGAATTTACAGATCTTTTGATAAAATAAATCCATTTGGTAAACTGTATAGTTAAATTCTACTCTATATTTTCCTTAGTTTTAAAGATATATCAACAAATTATTATGCTTTATTCAGTTAGTATTTTACTTTATTTTTCCCATAATTTTATTTAGAGACAAATAGCAATGAGACAGTTTCAAATCAAATTGGTAGGACAGTTTCAATAATTAACACATTGCATACTCTCTTCCTAGTGGTTATTTGCTGTACAAGATGCAGACATGATATTCTATTTATAAACACTATTACAACAAATCCCTCTATTCATTAAGAGAATGTAACTATATATCTATCCTAACCATTTTGAATACACAGATACAAAATGGGCATTCATCTGTATCCCTTTTTTGTTTGGTTCCGTCATTTGACTATTATAGGTGTGTTAACTCAGCAAAATATTCTAAGAGTCCAGTAGTCCATAATAGTGTTGGGTCTTCTGCTTGACTGGCAGTGTCAGAAATTGTTGACCTGAGTCCCCTACAGCTCAACATAACAGCATGGCTTTACTTCTTATATTTTGTTTTTATACTTTTCTGCTGGATGGTTAAGACCAAGATAAAGCAAGTTAGTATTTTAAAGTATTTTTCTGTAGAAAATAATTCATATCTATATTTACTGTATATTATATAATAATACCTAATTTAATTTTGAGAGGCATTAATGCCAGAGTTTGAACTTAGCAATACTTATTTCATTCAACAATGCTAAAGTATGAGTCTTATTATTAGATTGTGTGAATAATGTATACTCTTGAACTGTAGAGGAGTATTTGATTCTGTGAATGTAGAAAGGTATTACACTTACTTCTCAACAAGAGACAGTGTTGTGGTTTGTATTTGTCCCCTAAAGCCTTATGCAGTCACTGAGGTGCAGTTCTACAGTTTGTGATTAATTCAGGATCTAAGGCTGGGATTATGGGTCTGAGTACTGCTGGGATTATGGGTGTGAGTGCTACACCCAGTTTGGGGCAGAGAGCCCAAATGTATCATCAGAGAGACGGACTTGCTCTCTGTAGCAACTGTTGCTGCTCCTCCTCTCTTTTGCTCTTGCTGTTTTGCTGCCTTCCGCTGCCAGGAACTATTGTTCTGTGCCCTGTGCCACTCTGCCTTGGAGCCAGCCAAGCATGAACTGAAACCTCCAGTAACTGTGGGCTAAAGAAACCTTTCCTTCTTTCATTTTGGGTTTCGGGTATTTGTCCCAGCAATGAGAGAAGAGTAAATAAGACTAAGAGTTATAAGCTTCATAATTCTATTTTCATGATATGGTCTCAAACACAAAAATAATTTTTTATTATCAAAGGGGAATGTTAGGACATTCCCAACATGTAAAACTGAGAAAAGCTGGCTAGAAGGCATTAGGTCATTTTATAAATTAATTTTTACATTTTCAAATCACCCATGTATGGTGCATGTCACATGATATTTTGGGAAAAGCAGAGATCCCTAGTCTAAGTGGTCTGTTCTAATTTAATATTTGTAGGTTTTGGGAAGTGTGGAAAAGAGCGTGACAGAGCAAAAATAATACAGCCAATGAGTAGATAATCAGCAGTCACCAAAATCTCCATTTGTGCCTCCCACTTTCTAAAGATGACCTGTTTCCAGCTGTATCAGTTTAATTTCATTCCCTATATTCTTTTGATTCATTCCAACCATTAGTCCATCAGCACCACCATTCTTTTTTCCCCTTTTGTATTCTGCCTTTTCCTACGTTGGCTCGGATTTTATGATAATCAACTCACTTCTTTGTCAATTGTCATAATGTCTGTCTGTCTGTCTGTCTTCTCCCTGTAGCCCTTTGCAAAACCATAAATCTAGTTAGTCATTATTCTACTTGTGCAACAGGTGTCTGTTGGTGGAGGAAACACAGGGAAGATCAGTCTATGGATTCATCTCATTTTAAGTTTAACTTTAAATTTCAAGTTGAGCAGTCCGCACTCCCTTGAACTTCTACCACAGGACAACTTAAATCATCACTCTGAAGATCATTTCTCATCATTTGTAATAGCCTTCCTTGCCTAGTTAGAAGTTTACTGACTTAATTTAACAAGTTATCATTAATCACTTAAGAATATAACTTTCCCAACTTGAATCATGCCTATCTTCCTGTGCACATGGCCAGAGGCGAGGTTTTCTCTTCTGTGCAAACAGCACTGGCTCTGATGGCACATCAACTTTTCCCATGTGGGCCAGAACATGTAATCAATAATTTGAAAGCAAATGTGTTATACTTTTTGTTGTGTAATTATTATCACCAATAATAGACAATGATTATCACCAATAATAGACAATTATTTTTTCGAAGTTTTGTCACACTACTGCAAATCTACTCAATATATTTATTTGATGGTATAAGAATCTCTCTGCTCTCAATTCATTTCTCCAATTACTGGATTGTCTCCAAGTATATGCAAACTACATACACTCCCTCTCACATTAAAACCCCCAAACCTACCTCACTCTTGTTCCTTTAGTCACAGCATATTGCTATTAGAATCCTCTATGTGCAGCTGTCAGGTGGTTTTGCTCCTTATACAGCTCATATTTCTTTTGTTGTTTTCTACTTTGCTTGACACTTAGAATATAGAATATCCCAAGGCTAATCTAAAAGCTCGCCCTATGTCCCCCTTCCCTCCTCTGTCATCCACGCAGTCTTATAGCTTTCAATATAGTCCAAATTCTGACTCCTCCCAAATCTATAATTCAGCCTCAAATGTGAGGTTTTTTTTTTTTGATAATTTTATTGAGAAACAAATAGCAATGAGACAGTTTCAAAATCAATTAGTAGGAGTTTCAATAATTAATACATTGCATATTGTTATCTTCTTAGTGGTTATTCATAGTACAAGATGCTGATATGATATCCTGTCCAAACACTATTAGTACAAATCTTTCTTCTCATTAAATTAAGAGAAAGTAGCCATATATCTATCCTATTTTCTATATAGAGATACAAAATGGTCATTCATTTATATCCCCTTTGTTTAGTTTTGTCAGAGAAGGGTATTCCATTGTCATTTAAATATTATAGGCGTGTGAATTCAGCAAAAGTCTGAGTTTTGATGGAACTTGGCACTGAGGATATCAATTTGTATATTTATAAGGTATCTTAAATTTCTGTGACCTTCCATTTTCTCCTGGACCTCTCAGATGCTGCAGATAATCAAATCGAAAGTCTTTGAAAGGCTCTGCCTTCAACATATTCCTGAGTCTGAATGTCTTGTCATATCCACTGTTGTCACCCTAGTCTGGACTGATACCTTCTTCTGCCTCAATTCCTGCTTCCATCCTTGACCCCCTACAGTGCAGCCTCAAGAAAATAACATCAACTATTTTTCAACTGAAGATGATATCTTCTCATTTCCATTTCTTGAACAGGGGCTACCACACCTGTCCTCTGTCTTCCTCGTCTCGTGTATCCTCCCTCACAGTCCTACAGATACAGATGAAATAAACTGAGACCACTGCACTTGGACCTGCTGGGTCCTCCCAAGAGGGACCCTTCCTAGATGCCTGGATGAGTCACCTCTCTGCAGAGCAGTCTCAGCTCTCTTCTCACTCACTTAGAATACTATCACTTGAGAACTTCATTAGCAGTGTCCTTTCTTACCCTTGTCAGTCTCTTCCAACATATAGTTATTGTTTCACCACACTGATGTCCATTTAAAACTTTATTTTCTTGTTCTGCTTTAGAAACACTGAGTACATGCTTTGTTGTTGGTGCTACAATGGAGAAATACAGGGTACCCAGGGTCTAATGGTACGAAAGTCAGGGAAAGTTTCTCTAACGATGGGCTATTTAAGCTGAAATCTAGAGGATTTGTGAAGTAAGGGTGAGGATGGGAATAGATACTACAACTTTTTCCTGGGTACATTTACTATCGATGAATGCGGCAATGCATTTACTACCACTATGCTATTTTCCTGTAGGAATGAGCTACAAATCCCCACATTTATCTTAATGGAGGAGTCAAACAGTCCGCAGAAGTAGAATAAACAAAAGAAAGACCATCAGGCCATGTTGCCAGGACCAGGACAAGTGGGATACATGAAGCAGGGAGCATTAACCTGGTCATGAGAATAGGCGCTGCTCTGGTCTATTCATTTTTTGAGTTTCAACTTAAGGGTGTACTGACCGTAAGTATTAGAACAACTAAAATCAGTTTAGTTGTGCCATAAACAACTTAATCTCTTTGGACTATATGATCTCAATTTATTAAAATATTTCCAATCAAGTTTTATTTTTGCTTTTAAAGAATTTGAATATCTGATTTTTTAAAAGCATAAATGTATCTAAAAAAGCAGTCAGTCTTTTTCTGCAAATATATTCCCAAGTAGTAATAGTAGAGACAAGCTGAGAAGAGCTATGTTTATTAACCACTAGTAAGGTTAATAAATTAAATGAACAGAGAAAATAGTTTTCAAAACAAATAAGGACTAGAATTTGGGATAAGTTAACTTCTTTCTTATAAGAGAAATAAGAAAGTACCTCCTCAGTAATAAAGAGTGGCAACTTAATTGTTACCAATGAATTTCAATGCTCTGGAGAGTCACTACTGGGAATTGAGCCAGACAAGGTTGGGAAAGAAAGCAATCCTATTAATCGGACTATTTAACCCTTCTCTGAAAGAGTGAGTCCTTCTCTAGGGAGGAGAATAAATGGGAAGCTGAGCGCATGTGCTGGCCTTAGACAACCCTCGGCTTAAATCACTAACTGAATGGTCCTAAGCAAACGCTGGAACATCTGGTTTTAAAGCCAAAGGATATTATGAACCTTGTGCTACCAGGAGTACAAGAATTGACTTCTGTGAAGTGCCTAGTACATGTACTAGGTATTAAAGGAATACATAGTCCCTTCTTTCTGGAAAGGTAGAGGTGGGGAGAGTGGGAGAACAGGAGAAGAATTCGGACACTTTTCTAAATGATGACCCACGTGGGACTTCGGCAGGATGACATCTCAGAGAAGCCCTGCTTTCCCATGTGCTATCTCAAAGTAACTCATCTCTCCTAGCCAAGGAGCTACTGGGCAGCAACAATAAAAGGAGACTGGGCAGGAGGAATCAATTCTCTTTGAAAGGCTAATGGGTAAATTGGACTTTTATGTACTGAATAAAAGCAATGTGAGAATGAGAGTTTTTGAGAAGGGAGAGCGATACAGCTTTGTGGCACAGTGCTTGTGCAGCACGGAGGTAGCCTGGTGTTCAACCCAAAATAAAACAAATTCTCAGGGCCGGCCAGAGAGCTCAGCGGATTAAAGTGCCTGCTTAGGCAGACGGAGGGGCTGAGGTTGCTGGCCCCGCCCCCAGGGCATGCTGAGCAGGAGACTGAGACTGCATGGTGGCCCCTGCCTATAATCCCAGGGCTTGGGAAGCTGAACACAGGAGAATCACTATGAGTACGATTGACACAGTGAGACCCTGTACTAAATACACAAAAACAAAACAAAAAACCACAACTTCTTCAAGAATCACTACATTAACACTTTGTAGAACCCAAGTTTTATATTTCATTGGCCTCTGGCTAACTGGACTATCATACCTGGGCAATGAAGATACTGGCCATCCACTCCATCTGCATCTGTGAACTATCACAGCAGAGGTGCCTGCAAAACAATGTTTATAAAACAAATCATTCAAAAAGACAATGGCTAAAATCTACTGTATGTACTGGTGATTCAGTGACCAGAAAGCTCTTCAGGTTTCTTGCAGCGTGTGGCCTAATGAAGTCAAATTAGAACATTTCTGTACAAGCAATTTTAGTTTTATGCTAATTTAATATCAAAGCAACTGTAAGGATGCTGGTTTTTTCCACAAATCTAACAAAAGGCTTTGAGAACTACACAAATGAGCCATACTTTTCCAGAGGCACAAAGCTCAGTGTCATTTTACTTTTAAGTCCATGCCACTAAGTAAACATCTTGTCCTCCAGAAACTGAGCCCTGCCCCTCAAAGTAAGAAAGACAAACGTGCACATGCCTGTAACTGCCATACAGTCTCTATCACTATGATTATAAAAACTAGACTTGTGAAAAATAAACTTCGTAAAAAGAGGCTACATATGTAATAACACTGATTCAGTAATCTTCTATTCAAATGCTTACATAATTACAGATCTTGCCCCTGAGGTTTGGTTAGCCTGTTAGGGAAGCGGGCCTGTAAACAAGTAAACTGTAACACAGTAAGAAAAAAAGAAGAGGAGCTGAGAAACGGCAGTGACAGGAAGGGAGATGAGATGAGGTTGTTATCTGTAAAAACAAATTTTGTAACTAATGTCAGAGTAAAATAAAGGA